TTTTTGTGGACTTTTGGTAACTGAATATAACTAATTATTTCACGAAAATTGTCCCAAGATAATTGTAATTAGCAATTTTTATCCTATAAATCCGTAATTATGTTTATGTTTCGCGTTTTATTTAATTACTGAGTAGAAAAACACATAAAATAATTTTGACCGTTTTACTATACTCCTCTGTGCGGCATTTAAGTGCAGAACAGTCCGGACTGTTGCTGATCCAGGTACCGTTGTCTTGGACTAAACGCTGCATACCTAGAAAAATACACTGGCGTATATTATGGTAAATGGTTAATGGTTCACAAAACGGCGCTCTCAAAGTTTGATGATAATTGATTTAATCTTAGCATATACTTGTTTAAAAATTATAATTAATATAATGGTCTAAATTTTGTAGACTATATAAATAAATATATAGCCTTCTGTCGAAAGAGGGAAATGTGTAACCATCACCTGATTTCCAGGGAAATGAGACGCCAAAATAACTGAAAAAGGATCCCTCTTCGTCGACATAAAGTGACCATCAATGCTCTTTAATGAACCCAGCTTGGCGGTTTGGTCTTTTTTAAGAAATTTTTACCAGTCCAGCTGCTTCAGTTAGCTTCTTATAATCCTTTTGTGTGCAGTGGTAGCATTTCCAGTACACATCAGCATTTGATTTAAGGGCCCTGTTAAAAAGTTTAAAAGTGTCTTCGAATTACTCCTCAACTTCTGACGCCCCTATTCCGTTAGAGGTAGAGGTCAGGATTGCCCCTAGGCGGAATAAGCGACTTCTGAAGTTTCTCCCTAAAAGAGAGCCCTTATATTTCGCATTAGCACAGATTACCACCACCAAGTCGAAATTAAATTTGGCTGTGGTGTGAAATCGAATCGTTTTAGGACTCTCCGGTTCTAAATTGTTCATCCCATCCGTAAATTCGATAGAGTTAGACCAATACTTTCGTGCAAAGTAGGAAAACCATCGAGTAAACTAGAACAAAAGTTAGAAGGAATCTCTATGACTTTTCTTTGAAAAGAAAGCCTGCGCATTTTTCTTGGGATTATATTTTCTATGAAATCAAGAAGTAACTCGCTCAATTTTTGCAAATTACACTCTAAAAAGGTTAACATGAAATGTTTAAAATTTTTAAAATTGAAAACATTCTCCATGTGCAAATTAGCACGCGTTAAAAAAGGAAAGTGGTTATTTCTCTTAATATGCGTAAATTTAAATAAACATTTCTTAGAGCATACCTAATTAAAGGCTTTAATTAAAAAAAAAAAACAAGTCTACTCTGACTTTTCCTTGACAGTTTACAGCTCTCGGCTACGGCAGTCGTCTATAACTTTCAAAAGATATTCTTATAAATAAAATCAATAAGAATTTTCACATCAAGACTTTTTTCGTCTATTTTACCCCTTAGACTAGACAATCTGAATTTGTTGGTATATATGTAGGTCATATTTTTCTTTTTGTGCCTTCTAAAAGTAACACGTGGATTAGATGCCGAATTTTAAGCCCTAAAAATAAGATATGCTCAAAAAACTGATAGCCTAACTATTTGACTACACGGTAAAAAATTTGGGTTTATTTTTAAACTTTTTGGACTACATATATGACCAAACTAAATTCAGTTTCAAATACAAACCTTCCAAGTTTAAAAAAAGACAGCACATATGTTGGGTTTAGAATTTAAACAGTTCGGTTTAAATTTGAAACCCAAACATTTTCATAATTAAGAATAAAAAAAATCTTAAATTTCATGCTCCGTCTGATGCGGATTGAACCCGGACAGCCTTGGTAGCAACAAATTGTATCAAGCATCTTTGCACACTCAGCTACAGCCACGCATGTAAATGTGCTTTCATATGTTGAGTTTGAATCAACACCACATTTCGCTGTGTGCAAACATTTTCTATTTCGGTTTAGATTTTAAACCAAATTTTCTATATATGAAACCTAGGAACTAGAATTAAAACATTTTGGTTTGATTTTTAAACCACGAACTTCTTGGACTAAAATTTAAACCACAATATATTAAAAATTGCTTAAAACTATTGACTGGTTTAAAAAGTAGACTACAAAAGATTAAAAAAGGCAGTAGTCCCAGCGCGGTTTAAAAATTAAACCCAAATTTTTGACCGTGTACTTGCTTATTAAAATTTTAATCAATTATCACACCATTCGTACCACATTTCGTTTTCCGGCAAACTGGAAACCATATCATAAATTTTATTAGCCAAACCAAATGAGACCACCGGTCTTATAAATGGTACATAATTTTTCCCCAAATTATTTATATTCAATTTTCCACCGCAAATTCACATTTTAAGACCGCAAAGTTTCCCTACCCTTAATTGTATATCATGGTAAAAAATTAATTTCCTGAAATGAAAGAGCCAAACGAAAAATCCGAACGCCTTTTTGTATGCATGGCAAGAATATCATTTGTAGCTTAATCACGCATACACATGCATTAAAATTTATGCACAATGCAAAAGGCAACCAACATCAGCACCGCATATCGGCCGGCGCTCCTTAACGCATTGCAACGGCCAACATTTGCCTGCTTTGCGCCAACTATGTATGCCCTTCTTCCTTCTCTTCATTTATCTTGGTCTATATTGCTTTGTGCAGCATGCCAGTGTACTTGTATTTTATGCCTTGGCTGGCGGGCAGTAAGAGCAGCACTTTCAGGCCTTTATATATTCATATGGATGTGGAGATTTTCTACACTTTTGGCGTTGTTACCAACAGCAAAACACCAACAAGGGCCTTATAGACCATTGCATTGCCGGTTGCACTGCATAAATCAGCGGTAGCAACGTGACAGAAACCTCGAGCAAAAAACCAAATAGCAGAAGTAGAGCATATGAAGGGGAAAGTAAGAGAGAGGTATACAAAATGTTACAAAATCATATCAGTATACTAAGTAAGTGTGTGTGGAGTGAGAGATATTTCGCCACTGTTGCCAGTTGGCTCCACCAAAGTTTCATTGTTCTGCTTTTGGCATTATGCCTGCTTTAGTGCCTTGTGAGCTACATTTGCGCCTGAACCACAGCCCAAACCAGAGAAGTATATTTATGTTATGCTTACTTATTTGGTCTTTTTCGACAGAAAATAGCAGAAAATATTCCCCAAATTAAGTTTACCAAAATTAAATGGAAGATTGTTTTCCGTTTTTTTTTTTTACTTAAAAGGAGTAATTTTAATAAAATATAAAAAATTAAAATTAGAGAATATATCCGATATATGATTTTCTTTGCATTCTACATCTATCCACTCGTCGTTCATTTTCAGTCACTCTTGAACGTGATTTGGAATAACAATGCGACCAGAGATGGGCACGGGGCTAAATATTCAATCACGATCTCGTCCATCCCGAAATTTAATTTTTAAGACCTTCCCGATACCGTCCATCCCGGCCATTTTGAAATTAGTACAGTGGGCCCGCGAGTCCCGATATAACGCGCCCAACTCTATATTGAACAATTTTCATTTCGCTTGCTCGCTGTTCACCATTATACTTTGCTCATTCATTTGATTGGCTTCGACGACTTACATCTTTTATTAATCTAAATTTGTAAATTGTTGCGTTATTCTTATAAAGTCGTTTCGTAATATTTACCTTGATTTCAAATTTTTAGTCTTAGCTTTTTAGACCAGTGACAGCGCTCTTTGAAAATTTTTCTAAATCAAAGGTTTCTTAAATAGCTTTCGTTTGATATCAAAATTGTTATATTAAATTTAGCTTATAAATTTCATCTAATAACATTTTTCAAATAGGTGGCAACTATTTTTAAAATATTTTTGAAATTAAGCTTTCTTACTTTATTTTGACGCCCATATTCTAACATTTCGTTAAGCACAGCATTTTAATTGAACTAAATTTTTCAAGCAGATGGCAACTCTTCCTAAAGATATTTTCCAAATCAAGCTTTCTTAAGCCACTTTATTGTGGCTCCCATATTATGACAACAGGTTATTTATCTTACCAATTTCATTGAATTAAATTTTTTAAACAAGTGACAACCCTCTTTAAAAATATTTTCCAAATTAGGTTTTCTTAAGCCTCTTTGGCTTAATACCGAAATTGTTATATTTCTTTTATTGTATCTATTTACTTAACAAAACATTTCAAACAGTTGGCCACTCTATATTTTTATGTTTTGAAACGTCCGGAGTGTATAGCGAAAAAATATAAAAGAATTATTTCAATCGAACTTAAAAATTGTATATACATACCGTCCCGGAATAAAGCAAACAGCAACAAAAATTATCCAAATGAAAAAGTACTTGGAAACAAATTACTTTGAAAAAGTAAGTGTGCGTGGACCACACTGGATAAGTGAAACTTACGTCACATATCTAATTTTTCTCATAACATTTGCTTAAGGTTATATTTTATCCTTTTTTCTATCTAGATCCCTACCTCTACCATTTTAGTTAGATGATTCTGTTTTCCTTTATCTTTATTTTTATCTTTATACTCTATTGTTCTTATAAAAGTAAAGTGTTTATATTTACCTTGATCTTCACCTCTGTTTTAATCTTTTCGGTGACCTGATAAGATGCAATGTGATGTGATTTCATGATTTACCTTGATCTTCACCTCTGTTTTAATCTTTTCGGTGACCTGATAAGATGCAATGTGATGTGATTTCATGTGATGTCATGTGATAGGATGTCATGTCGTGCCAAATGATGTCATATCATGTGATGTTCTGTCATATGATGTAACAACATGTGTATCGATAACAAAATAGAATAGTAACATCAATAAAAATATCGATAACAAAACCGATAAAATTATCGATAACGATTTCGATAAAAAATATATGTACAATTTTTTTTTTAAATATCTATAACAAAATCGATAAAAATATCGATATCAAAATCGATAAAAATATCGCTAACAAATCTATGATAGAAATATCGATAACAAGAATACTGAAAATCCGAAATAGTTCCCAAGGTTGAGTCTCTCTGCCTCTATCCATATCTTTTTCTTTATAATTACCTTTATTTTAATCCTTCTTCCTCCATCTTCGTCTTTACTTTTATCGGTATCCTCATCCTCTCTTATTCTTTAATTTTTTATTAGCACATTTTTGTTAAATTAATACCATCTGCATAAATATGTTTAAGAAGCAGTTGCTATCGTCCCAAACATTTCCGTGTGCAATTCCGTTACGCTATCTACGTATGCAATTTCCGTTGAATTTGCCAATTTACTCCCAACCAACCAACCGCCATTAAAGAAGTTTCACTTCAAAAAGTCACTTGCTTTCAAAAAAAATGGAGGAGTTTCAATTACATGTAGTTAATAAAAAAGTACTCATTAAATTGCTTTTAAAGTATTCGAATTTCCTACAGGGTCACTAATAATAGGTTTCGACAAAATGTGCAAATTTTCACCGTTGCGCCCTCTGGTGGAAGTTGTAAGAAAAAGATAAGTGCATAAAGAGATTCCTCTTACCGAAAACCCCTTCTGGCATATTTTTATACAAAATTTAAGCACTTCTTTACGACACTACAGAAAAATGCCAAGAAACCTATTTTCGCAATTTGGCAAACTCCAAATTAATTATAGACCCACGGTTTCTTCGGCAAATTTTCTTAGAATTACACGTAGAATTCTTGTGTGATATACCCGCTTAAAGTGTTCTTACACGATATGTATTTCCATCTGTAAAGGTAATTGTTTCGATACACATGTATGTAACTGCATCTGCCTGTCAAATTCAGAGTATTTAATTAACTGTTCAAAATTACAGAAACAAGTCTAATTTGCCTTTGCACGATATGTTGGCATTTCCATATGTACATATCGTGTAAGAACACTTTTAGTCGAAAAAGTATCCCATATGACCCGCCCTAATGTTTATGTACATTTAACTAAATATTCTAACGTAATATGTCATCAGCCGAACACATAGTACTCCCATTAGCTTTGTCAGCTTTGTAGCTTTTTAAGTTTTCCTTTTCTCTTAAGTTCATAGTTGACCTCTCAGCCACATACTTTGAAGGAACTATACAATGTACGATATTTAGCGCCTTTCCATTGTCAAAAGTACAAAACTAATTTGCCACTTATAATTACTTAGTCTGCTAAAGTGCACAATGTACCACTTTTCTGTATATTTGGTAAATATTCCTATTTTTTCAAGAAATTTCTCATTCGCTGGAAAAACCGTACAATACAAATAATCACATATGTACATACATATACTACAAACACGGATTTAAAGCGTTAGTTCGTTATTTTCTACGGTAATCGGGCATGTTCTGAAATTTCTACGATTTGAAATCGGTACGATTTAGGAAATATCTTCATAGATTTTCGATTGAAAAATTTAAAACTTTGTATTGAAACAGCTGATTTAGCATTGCCAGTGTTTCTTTCGTAGTTTTTCTCTATAAAATATTCGATATGTTCGTGAAAACGTACCAATCTCAAATCGTGCGATTTAGGGAATACGCCTGTCAACTAAAAAACTAAAACAATTGTGATCTACACAAATATTTAACCCAGAGTATAAAACTGTTATCAATCTTCAACTTGACTCTCTAAGTAAAATTTAATCTTTTCCTATTTGACATAATGCATAAGTATCGCTAATATTTGTCACAGAGCATTAACGAAGCGCTGGTAATTATATTATTATTTTTTTTTTTTTTTTTTTTTTTGTGAATTATGATATTCTTCCAGCAAACTAAAAGTATGCTGCCGTTAAATTTTTCAGCTGCAGTAGCTTTTGCATGGCTTGTATGTATACAGAATAGAGTAAGTGTAATTTACGCATTAATTATCCACACATTATCCGCACTTATGTGGTTAAACGGGCTGACGGCCTGCCAGCCGAGCTATTCAAATACGGCGGCGTGAGCTGATCAGGTGCATGCATCAGCTCGTATGCAGAATATGGTCAGATGAACGCATGCCCGACGACTGGAATTTAAGTGTGCTCTGCCCAATCCACAAGAAAGGCGACCCCGCCATACGCGCCAACTACCGCGGAATTAGCCTTCTAAGCATAGGTTACAAGGTCTTATCGAGCGTATTGTGCGAAAGACTGAAGCCCACCGTCAACGAGCTGATTGGACCTTATCAGTGTGGCTTTAGGCCTGGAAAATCCACCATAGATCAGGTATTCACAATACGCCAAATCTTGGAAAAGACCCGCGAGAATAGGATCGACA